AGCAGTAGCATTTACAAATAACAGCATATCTAAAAGTATGAGACAACAACAAACAAAAAACATAGGCCTACCATTAAAAGCCGTGCTTGCACAGGTTCTGCATGATCCTCTTCAATAATATCCTCTGCTTATCAATCGGGCTCAAACTGATAAGCGATATTAACGCCGCCGCTGTTTACTATACAACCGGAGCACATGCTGCTGAGGTGAGGGGCGGGACATTTAGACGCGCACTAGAGGCAGTTTAGCCAATCACAACACACTGGGCTAGCTAACCAATCAGAGCCCATCGCCTATTTCTGAGGGAGGGGCTTCATAAAAGAAGGAAATGATTAGCGTGTTTCTCAGAGAAGGGACAGAGTGGGGTGGAATAAAGGTAAAAACGTTTTAAAAACGAAGCATTAACACATGTTAGACTGCACCCCGTAAACACAATCAATCCTAGAAAAAAAACACTGAACCACCCCTTTAATATCCTAATGATTTTTGGCATAAAAGAAAAATCGATAATTTAATCGATAATTCCCTTCTCTGAATGCATCTATACGAGATTATGGATAATTACAGTTTCATTCCAATTTTAATTGAATTTGTATTTGTGTCAGTGTGTTTTGCCATAGTTTTGATGACCTCAGATTCTCCTCACGGATAATCACGTAAACTTTATTTTAGCCTGATTCATACTGAAGGATAAAAAACTTCAGTGAATATTGACTTTTGTCCTACATTGATAACTCCTGTCAGTCATTTCTACACAAAGTTTAACCTTAATTCCTCACATACTTGGTAATAAAGATGAAAGGAATGTTATGGGTTCAATATCTATCCACAGCACCTGTGATGTACTGACAATTACTACAGACCTCATTTAACTGGTCTTTCAGTTTAATAAAAACTGCACTTGCAATGAAGGTCTATGGGCATTTCTGGCAGGGAATTGCTTTTTATTGTTTAAAATGCCCTGTCTTGTGACTGACACAAAAGCAGACTTTCATCACAAGCTTCATATTGGTTCAGTATGCATTTGCAGTTATCTTGAGTTTGAACTTTTGAGTTAATTATACTCTAACGCTGTTCGATATAACAATCAATGTCCTTGCAGTGAGAACACTGATAAAGGTCTACTGTGCCATTATAGGTGTTAACATGAGACTAGTGTGATTGAATTTCTTACTGAGCTCATTTTTTTTTTTTTTAAGTCACTCTGGATATTTCAACAAAGCTGTCTTGATGATGTAATGCCGGTAAATTCGGTAAACCAGGTACAACTTTCACACAATATGCGCAAAAGGACAGGGGTTGTTTACATACAGAAAAATCCACCCACAGGAATTATTTCACAGGAACATTCTTCTACCTAGAAAAGTCTCCTAATCTCACTCCTAATCACAACTCAACAACTTAGATTTAAAGCAGAACTGAAGTGGATGGTGAACTGCTGTTTAACAGCTTTAAAATGGAAAAAAACAGCATCACAAAAGTATGTGCACTATATTCTAAGTCTTACAAAACCAAATAAATCATATATATATGTAATTATTAAAAATCAAAAAGCTCAAAAATGAAAAATCTTAAAATCTAAAAAGAAAATGTAATTTACAATATGAAAACAATTTATAATAGTGTATAAATAATAGTAAAATATTAAATATAGCATTTATGTTTAAATATCAGTCTTAGCATTGCATTGCTCAATATTGCATTGCTCAATATTGCATTGCTCAATATTTTACACCACAGACAGTGGCATTAAATCATCGTCGCATGTCTGATTGTGATATGCTGCGAAAAAGGTTTGACAGCTCTGGTGAAACGCTGATGATTATCAGTGGACAATGAAAGTGTATTCACATTTTTAGAGGAAACAATCTCAAACTTGATCAAATTGTGTTTTGTCACATGAAAAGAAAGAAATGAATAAGGGCTTGGAATCATAAGGGAGAGTAAATGGTACCAAATTTTCAAACTACTCCTTTGCTGATCAATTTGTACAAGAAATTCTACACACTGATCAGAAACTTTAATGTGATTTATAATGCAAACGGTACGTGTTACTGTACCTGTTGAATCCAGCGACTTGGAGACTTTAGTATCTTTGCTCTTCTTTGATTTCTGCATAGGAAAAAAAAAAAAAGCCTAACATGAAAAATGTTCTTAAAAATGTCTAAAGTCATATGAAAAACAAAACAAAACATGGAAGTGGAAATAAAGGAAGTGAAAGCGGTTTTTGCTCATTCAGTTATGTTCAGGGTGCATTTACATTTCCTCATCTCTTACAAATTACATTACGATAATGAATTTGCTTTTACTGGCAATTTTTAAGCGTAGCTTCCACCAAGTACATCCCAAAGACCACTGCAATTCTATATCAGCAAGGCATCAATTTACTTTTGCAGTTTTAGCCTTTAATCGGCGCTCCTCCATAGCCTTCTGTAGCTTCTCCGCCTCCTCTTTAGACCCATTCAGCATCACAAGGTTGTCTTCTTGGAAAGGATCTCCACACTTAAAAAAAAAACACAAGAACGTGAATATTAAAACTATGGAAAAATTTAAATACTGTTAAATGACTAGTTTTGGCACAAAAAAATTAATACATAAAAAAAGTAAAATTAAAAATCAAATAAAAAAATTAAATTAAAGAAAAACACAAAACATACACTTGATAATAAAATAAATTAAAATAATTAAAAATAAAATTAAATCTAAAATGAAAAATAAAACAAGTATACACAATAAAAACAAGTAACATGGCAAGTAACACATTGAATTTAATGTAAAATTTTGAGGTAGAAAATCTGAAAATGCATTTTCCTGTAAAACACGCTCCAATAATCATTATTTACAACTTTGAAAAAAACATTTTTTTTTCAGTGTATTAAAGTGTATAAGACTGTGATAATACCGTTACCTAAAAACTGTCTGAAAGCAAAGTGCACAAACTGGAGAACTGATAATATGTCACTAAACAGGTCATAAAGCAGGTATAACGGCTTTGCCTGAAAAGCAGAAAAATGTTGCATGATGACTAAGTTACCCGAAAGCCAAACGCACACACAATGACACAGGCATTCAGCAGCAGCTATTGTCCTGCACACAAGCAGCACTGGCACACACAAGCAGCACTGGCACACACAAGAGCGCTAATCTCTTTCACGCATCAGCAAACGCACGGGCCGCCAGCCCTCGGGCTCACTACAGGTCAGTTGCTTTCTGTCTCTGCGCTCAGGTCGGGAAAAAACAAGGAGCTAACGCATCTGGAACCGCATTTATCTGCAAAGCAAGCATCTGAAGAAGCGAACAGGAGGTGGAGAGAGCAAACAGATATGAAGATTATGAAGGTAAAGCTGGAGAGTGAAACAAATCTGCAGCATCTACTAAACAAACTAAGCTAAATCTGGTTGATGCTTTAAAGTCAGAATAAAAATCTAAACAGACAACATTTACTTCCTTAATACAAATTTCTGCTCTTACTGTGCGCAATTTCCTCAATGCACGTTATTGCAGATTAAACAAAAAACAGTTTTGCAATACAAATGTAATATTTTGGTCTTGTTTCTAAAAGCTACTTTACATGGACTGCTAAAGTAGCTATTTTTGAAGCTTGACACTCTGTTCACATTCAAAATGCAAATGACTAAACAACTAAATGATTACAGAATTTACATTTTAAGAATTCATTTAAGAATTAAATCAACAAACTAACTCTCCACTGCACCTTATGTGTATGAAAGCCATTCTTTAAGACCATTATAACTGCTTTAGTCAACTGTAAACCTGAAACCATATAAAATCACTAACCGTAACCATTCACGTTCTTAAAGGGGTCATATGATGCGATTTCAATTTTTCCTTTCTCTTTGGAGTGTTACAAGCTCTTGGTGCATAAAGAAGATCTGTAAAGTTGCAAAGACTAAAGTCTCAAATCCAAAGAGATATTCTTTATAAAAGTTAAGAGTCAGCCACACCTACCTAAAACGGCTCGTTCTAACATGCCCCCACATGTCTACGTCACGATGTGGGAAGATTTGCATAACACCGCCCAAATGTTCATGCAAAGAAAGAAGGCGTAACTTTTATTCTCACTGTAGTATTGTTGACGCTGCAGCCATGTCGTGAAGACGCTGTGTGCTTCTGCTCGCTTTTTCAGACCGATGAGCTTTGTAAAAATCGACGCGTTTCAAAAAGGCGGGGCATAGAGGAGAAACAATAATGTACAGTATGTGGAAAATAATGTGTTTTTTGAACTTTAAACCGCATAAACACATTTCATTACACCAAATACACAAAATAATGTTCTTTTTAGCATCATATGACCCCTTTAAAACACATTCTAGATCTTATTGTGCACAATTCCCTTTTATTATTGTTGCTATAAAATTTAGTATAGGCTATTTTTTTTACCGAGCTTTGTTATTTTTGAAGATTGACAGTCCTTGCTCATTTAAAATACAAATTATCAAAATAAATGTCTAAATGATGACAGAATTGTATTTTTATGCATGATAGTAATTAAAATGGACTCAAAATTAAATTAAAAAAATAAAAATTTACTTTCTTAATGCACATTCATGATCTTAATGTGCACAATTTGCTCAATGCAAATTATTCAAAATTTCCTTGTTCACAGTCAAGATGCAAATAATAAAAATAAATGACTAAATAATGACAAAATTTACATTTTTACGAAAGATAGCAACTATTTGTTTAAAAACGTAATCAAGTAATTATGAAAATCAAAATGGACTTTAAATTTACTTTCTGATATGATTGTGCACAACTTCCTCAATGCACATTATTGGAAATTTAAAAAGCACTTTTGCTATAAAAATGTACATTTTTGGTCTGCTATTTACACAGATACATATATGGACTGCTAAAATAGCTATTTTTTGTTATATCTGAAGCTTGCCCATCCTTGTTCACATTCAAAATGCAAAGTGATCAAAATAAATGACTAAACAATGACAGAATTTTCATTTTTATGCATGATGGCAACTATTTGTTTAAGACTGAACCAATTAGTAACTAATTCCCACGTTACTAAAAGTTACTAGAAGTGCATAATTTCCACAAGCATTTTTGCAATAAAAATGTAAAATTTTGGCCACTTATTTAGGCTACTATATATGGACTGTTAAAGTAGCTATTTTAGCTTTATTGTTGTTTTTAAGCTTGACAGTCCTTATTCAAATTCAAAATGCAATATTCTGATTAGTGGTCGACCGATATATTGGCCGATATTTGGCATTTTTCAAATATCGGCATCGGCCGATAAGTTTTTCCTGTTTGGCCGATGCTTTCGAGGCTTTTATTTTGACGGCACGTTCTCACATTCTCCCTCTTGTTCGCTGTCGTCAACAGTAGGGCTGGGTATCGTTCAAAAATTTTCAATATCGAATACCGATACCTTGACTTCGATACCGGTTCCTGAACGATACTTTTTCCGATACCAATTATATGAAATCAATTTTAACAAGATTACATTACCTAAAAAAAAAAAACTTTGGTTTTATTTTTCAGCTTGTTGATGTTTATACAAACTCAAAGACTCCTGAGCCACTGCACAAAGGAACAAAATGTAACCAACACAATAAATCAAGTGCAAATAGTTTTAATAAAGCTCAAATAGTCTTCAGTTTACACATCTATTAGGCTACATTTACACTAGTGCGTGTTCATTTTAAAAAGCATAGGTCAGACAGAATCATGATTTCTATTCATTTTCCACTGATTTACTGATGAGCATTATCAGCTTCCAGCGCTGTCTGCCTGTGTTCTCTCTTCCATGATCGCTGCTCTGACTCAGAGGAAATAACATAACTATTTCAGGAACTTTACATGGCCAAAACACACATTAGACGACAATCGGAAGTTATTACAAACACTCGATGGTGGTTTAAACTGAGTTTTGAGTAAAAGCGGAATATAAATCTTATTTATTGTCTTATGTAGCATGATGCTACAGTTTGCATGAATGGTCACATAACACGCGCTTTCGGTCGTGTAACGTTAGTATGAACGGACATCGTGAAACGCATTGGAAACGCCAGTATGACGAGGATCGTTTTCATTTTAAAACATAAACGCACCAGTGTAAATCTAAGGGGGCTGGGACGCATTCACACTACAGCCTCACGTGTGTGCCACATGCCACATCTTAACCGGTGTAAACTAGTAGGTGTGTTCGACTTGACACAGACCGACTGTGCAGTGCAGACTGCAGACCATATTACAGTACCACGAGCGCTAAAGAGAGCAGACTGCTCCGTGCGCTTTGGAAACGCTTTTGCGGATGTCAAACACTGATCGATCTGCGTCGCACCTCTTCTAGTCGAACACACCAGTTAGTGCTGCAGGCTTATTGGCTCACTGACGCTGATGAGATTAGCCCCTTAGGTATCGAAATTTGGTACCGAACGACGAGACGTTTTTCGATACTCGATGATATCGAGGCAATTCTGTCGGTGCCTAAAAAGTATCGAACTCGATACCCAGCCCTAAACATATGACATGCTCTTGCCTGAGATATGTGCAGCAAGATCCCCGAGAAACGCCAAATGTGCCATCCTCAAAATCAGTTCAAACACAATAAACACCTTTTATCCAGACCTCTCATTAGCCAGCTGTATATATGTGTATCTGCGTTGTTGTACAGAGAAAATTGCATTATAATTAGTGTATAAGATGAAATATGTGTATGGGTCAAAGACGAGATGTCCCATTTTGGTGCCCGTGTCAAATTCGTTCTATACATAGAAAGCATATTAAATGCAAGTAAAGTGTCTACTTGAATGTTTCAAATAACTTGTGTGAAAATATAATGGCAAAATATGGGTGAAATAATGTTCCATTGTTATCCAGCATAACAGATATATTTATGTAAAAATAAAACGTGCTTTGCTTATTACTTGCATACATATTACATACTAACATACTTATTCTGACCTGTACTTATTAAAATATATAAAAGAAACAGTGATCATACTAAATTTTATTATATTTAAATTTTTGTCTTGCGACGAATGTGTAAAACCTAGTGGTTTGAAGGATAGTGGCAATGTTTGGTAAAGATTTAAAATTACAATACATTTGTGTTTGGAGTAAATTTGAGTTCAAAAGTCTTTGGTGCAACATTATATTTAAAGTGATCAAAGATCGAACTAGTGTAATGGCATTCTGAACAAAAATCAGCTCAAAATGATGTTCATTTGGAGTTTGTTTCAGGAGTTCAAAAGCTTCGGCTGGTAAACACCTTCAAACTATCATTGGTCAATGGCCATTACATAATAAGTAGGTGTGCTCTGGGGCTCTGCCTTTGACGTGACGATCTTCTCATTTCATTTGTTCAGTCTCTTGAAGTCAGGCGAGTAAGACATGAATACACTGGAGCCGCTTTATAGTTGAAATTGAAGTTGTAATAAATGAAAGCTGAAATGAAACAGTTTTTCATGTTTAATACTGTAAAGCTGCTTGCTT